GTGTATTTATTTTACATATAAATGTTAACTAACATTGTGGGGAATGCCGGGGAGGGGGGCACAGTGCAGAATTGGCATGGGAAAATTTGTTGCACCCAACTCACCGTGGCCAACTCCTAGTGAGATAACTCACCAAGGCCAGCTCGCTGCAGGATAACTCATGCAGAATAATTCAACAATTCAATTTAATTATTTAAAGTAATTTTTAAAATTGTTTTAATTTTTGTCATAAACGTTTTGTCCCTCCTTTTGCATCCTTTCTTTAATGATTCTATTCCACCATTTCTTCAAAATTAGTGTAATTGTCGTCCCACAGCGAATTGTCCCACGGCAAGTTCACCATGACGAGTTGTCCTGTGGTGAGTTGGCCAATGATGAGTTAGTCACAGCGAGTTGTCCTAAATCCATGCAGAAAATTATCATGAGAGATCTCAAGCAGTAACCTCTTAATGTTATCTGGTGGATAGCAATAGCACTTAGAATTATATAACATCCCATAGGGCTTTATAGCACTCTCTGGTCAATTTACAACATCAATATTTTGTCTCCAACAATTTGCCTCCTCATTTTAGCAACCTAAAAATGATGGAAGGCTGAGTCAACCTTGAACCTATAAGGATCAACCTCCAGACTGTGGGCAGACTTAGCCTGCAATGCTGCATTCTAACCATAGCCACTTTGTTTTCTGTTACATATGGCAGGCTCTCAAATATTGTGGTTATGTGCTAGGTAGAGCTTTATGTCACTAGCTGCACCTTAAATTGCACCCAGGGCCACATTGGAAGCCAGTGCTGCTCATGGAGTAGAAATGTAACGTGAACTGCTTGAGAAGCATACATAAGTAAGTGCCTCTGCAGCTGCATTTTGCACCAACTGCAGCTTCTGAATGCTCTTCAGGACAGCCTCAAGTAGAGCACTTTATAGTAATCCAGGAGGAAAGTAAGGCACAAATGATTGAAAACAAAGCATCCCAAATCAGGCAAGGGTACAACTGGCATGCAACACAAAACTCTGTGAAAGCTTCCTGGTTAGTTTGTGAGATAGTCCAAACAGGAAGTATTGCCAGAAATACTGTTACTTTATTGTAAGGATACATTTATAGAATCTTGCAAGTCTGAAAGTACATCCCCCCCCCCCCCCCGCCGCTTTACAGTCAAAGAGACTAAGGAAAATCCATTCTGAGATGTTTGCCATGCTCCCATTCCTTTGGTGGATTGATATCGTGTTTGTCTGATCATGTCTAGTCTGAGGCTCTTTCTCCTGTCTCCCAAGATCATTTCCATATGCTATCACTTTCTTAGTCATCTCTGTCACCTAGTTTTCATGCAGAAATCATCAGTTTAGGAGGACCCTAGATGGCATGCAAGGTCTGCTTGGGGCAATGCTGGCCCATTCAGAAGAAGAGATCACAGATCCCTGGACCCAGAAGATTCCAAGCCCAGAGCCATTTCATCTTGTCAAGATTGACCTGAAGCCTCTTGTTCCCCATCCAAACCTTAACAGCTTCCAGATACCAAGACAGTATTACTTAGTGTGCAACCAGAGTGCAAAAAGGATTGTTTTAATTATTTAGCACCCTGTATTGCATATTTTAAAATCATTACTCATCTTTGGTATTGATAATGCACATGTTTAATTCAACATGCCTATATCCTTCAATTTTTTACTTATTTTTAAAGAATATCCCCTGTAGAATGATTAAAAAATGATCCCAGAAAAGTCTTAAAATGTGCAGGCCAAGTATAATCAGTCTCTGTGGATGATGATGTTTAATAGCAATTATTAAATTATTTTGGGGGGATAGTAGAATAAAATAATGTATTATTATTATTGTAATGCATTCTACACCATACTTCTGTTTTTCCTCCTTTCCATGTAGGGTGAGATTTTCCACATGTTATAGACATATACTTGGGATTATGGCTGTGGCTAGGATAACTGGGCTTTCATCAAGCTGTATAAACAGAGGGAATATGCTGATTTAGTGACAATTTAATGTTAATAAGGACATAACTGATAGGAGGTATAATGAGGAAGATTCACTAAGAAAGATGACATATAGACAGCCTGATTTAAAGACTTAGGATCAGGAAAAGAAAAAGCAGAATAAGGAGAAGATGCAAAGAAAAGCAAAAAGGGCTTCTTTCTCTATAAAAGGAAGACAAGAAGCAATATACCAGCTGCTCAGCAAAGGTGACCAAAAAAAAGATAACAAGAAAAAGTAGAATTATTTAACTCCACTTATGGCTTAGGTTTCTCTAAGAATATGTCTTTCACTGGTTATTATGAAAAGCATTCTCAAGGAGCAAGATTCTATCATGAACCTGATAGAAAACATACTCAAAAGGAGTACCTGCTGACCTTGAATGCAACTAAAAATTGCAACCAAGGCAGAAGTCAGACAGCATCCTGTCAGATGTATTTAAAACTAAATTCTTGCACTGAACTCAGAGACTTAACTTGCTTCCTTCCAGCTGTCTGATACTAAAATATATGGTTGTTACAAGAATGATAATTATCTGTGAGGAAGCTATTTCCAGATAGCTTGTTTGCCTTTACTCTCTTTATTATTAACACACGCACACACCAACAGACATTTTCCTTTTTCAGGATGATGCCAGAACTTGTACTTTCTTCAGGGTTTCATTCAGGCAGCAAGCCCTAGAATTAAATGATATTCACATTACCATTTTCTTCCTATTTTTAACATAGGTTGGGCTCCACCATTAGCCTAAGTTTCATCTATGTTTGGGTATTATTTTCACCCTTCCCATTTAAGGGGTCCTACACCCACCCCTTGAGAGTTTGGGGAACTTTCTGAATAAAATGGGATATGACTTAGGGTTCCCTAAAAATTGGGGACAGATGTTGATAAAAATGGCAGCTAAGATTTGTCTGCACAGAAGCAGTGTGCATGAAGCAATGCCAAATATATTTGAACTGAGAAAGTAATTTTAATATAATGGTTATGAATAACTAGGTATGGCAGTTGCAATTTGGATGTTTTATGTTTAAAGCAAAATTCTCCTCAGTACTGTAGTGATATAATTCTTCAGTATTTTTAGTGGAAGTGTGTGTGTGTATGTGTGCGCGTAATTTATTTAATTTGAATTCCAACCCAACTCCAACTGACTAAATAAATAAATAAATAATAACATAGAAACCAGTAGCAACCAAGCTACAAACAGAACAACAATAGCAAACATGCCTAATGGCACATCTATTTCACATCAAGGTCTGGGAGAACAATTAGGTCTTCAAGGCTTTATGGAATGTCAATGGGGATGTAGGTCTGATTCCAAAGGGCAGATGCTACAAGAAGGAATTCACATTTTCTGGGTCATGTTAAATGATATTGTTGATTTGAAGGGAGCTGGAGCAAGCCAACTCTGCTGCCCTATATTGCCCAGGCAGAAACCATGGGAGGTAGGTAGTCCTTCAAATAACCTAATCTGTGCCATGTAGGACTTTATAGGTAACAAATAATACCTAGAATAATACCCAGGGACAGACTGGCAACCATTGTGGCTTGCAAAGCAGAAATGTCACAAGGGTATGCCAAGGAATGACAATTGCTATCAGTGCTGCTGCACTCTGGACCAGCTGAAACTTCTGAGCAGCTTTCAAGAGCAGCCTGGGGTAGAGTTCATTGCTGTAGTCAAACCACCAGTATAACATGACAAGCTGAGATCAACATTACACTTATTAGTTCTAGACATTAGACTAGACAAGATAACAAGGCACTCTATTTGCAGTGTTAGTAATAGCCAGTTATTTGAATATTTCTCTTCTTTTATCATGCGCTAGAAGATAATAGACCTTAGATCACATTGGTCACCTGAAATTTTTGATGGCTGGCTTCACAATGTGAAGTAGTGTTGTATAAAATTACCTTCCTTATAGCTAGATTCTGAGTTTTCAAATGGACTACCCAAATTTGACTGACCTAGATTTTTTTTTTTTCAAAATTAAAGGTTCCACAATTGGTTGTTCTGTCTTCCAGCACTCTTGAAAATCAGGGATGTCCCTTGATTTTGTTCACTGGGGAAAGCATTGTGCCAGCTATTCCAGTTATCAAAGGAATTTTAACATAATTATCTTTTCTAATGATAAGAACATCCCTTACAGAATGAAAGAAAATAACTCTGAAGTAGGATTTTTTTTATCAAAAATCATTCAGATATTAATCATAGTGCCAGACCACTTAAGATTGCAGATTTTAGAAGAGCTAGACCCAACAAATAAAAAGAACTTGATATCTCCTAAATTGACACACTTTTTATTACGTTAAAGTCTCCATCATAAATGGTGATAATGTATTTGTTCAACTTAATTTAGAATTTATCCAGAAGTTGATAAATGTGTTTTTCTAATAAATCTAGGATGAATACTTTCATACATTTCTGAAAATCCCAAGACATAAAAAAGGAGTATGATTCTTATTATAAATGCTGTCAGGAAATAAAATTGCTGTAAGCTGCCCAGAGTCACTTTGAAATGAGATGGGCAAACAAACAAACAAACAAACAAATAAATATAGCTATATACAATAGTGTGGGACCTGAACAGTATGTTGTTAATAGAGAACCAGAATAAAGGCACCTTCCTTAAATATCTATGTGTAGTTTATTGTCTTGTTTCTCTAGAGCAAGCTATTAGTAAATATATATCTGTTTTATCATTTGTTTTACTCTTAGCCATGTATGTTTAAACTATTTTGTACAATTGTTTTTTCTATAACTGTTCTTAAACTTACTTTAAATATTTGCAGTTGTATTATTCACAATTTTGGATAGAAAACTACTTCTAATCTAAAGAAATGAATATAATTACTTAGTATCCTCATCCCAGAGAGCTGCTATTTTGTATTATTCCTGCCCTATGTGTCTTCTGCATTATAAATATAAAATAGATCTTATATGGGGTGGGCTTGCTTTTCTAAAACTTGAGTACTTTCTGAGCTTACCTAGCCTCCCATCTTTTTTCTTTTCTTTTCCTAGATTAGAAAAAGACAACATTCAGCATAGCTTTAGTAATGAGGCAAAGACTCGAGTCCTTCAGGCTCAGCAGAGAGAGCAGGATCTGACACAGAAGATGCGGCAAATGGAGGCCCAGCATGATAAAACTGGTAGGTGGTCGGGAAAGATTAGAGCTGGGCACTCACTCACAAGCCCGGCCCATGCCTTACTGTGAAATGACATCAGGAACACCTGTAACCTTTGGCTGGCCGAAGGGAGCAGATGCTAACTACACCGGAGATTCCGAATTACATATTAGTTAGCGTTTAAAAGAGAAAATGGAAAGTATTGCCCACTGTCTGTTGATTTCAGAGTGCTGCTCTCACATCTGTTGCACCATCTGGATTATGAGTTTATTTACCTGTGTTCAAGAAACGTAAAGCTGAGAGGGACCACAACAAAGTAGAAAAACAAAGGGTTTATTTTTGGCTGGATTTTTAGGCACACATGTTATATAAAGAAAATAGCATCAGAAGCTCTGCAGGAAATGCTCTGAGCTTACAGTTAAAGTCTCCTGAATAGTACTGAACAGTTCCCACAGTACACACATTATAGCTACTCTAAAAGCTTAATGAGTTTGCTTCAGAATCCAAACTGGAGAAAAGCTGTAGCCATTAATTGGTACTTAATTCACTGTCGCAGCTGGATGTAATTCACTGGCTCCAAATTAATATGTTCCTTTATTTAATCTTCGTCGCTTCACACATTTTTGGAATTTGTGTTTTCTGTCCTCCTCAAATTTAGCTATAACTTTTATCTTTTGTAGCTACAAGAATTTGCAGTACAGAGTTTAAATTGATAAGTATGGGATTTTGGCAACAGCTGGTAATATGACTGAAACCTGATGTCTTTCAATACAGTATTTTAGTTTAGCTAACTTATCTTTCTTTACCTTTATAGTGTGAAGGTGAAATTGTTTCATGGAAATTCTGACAATATCTGTGTAGTTTTTTAACATTGCTTTTTTAGGTTTACGTCAGAATGTACTATGTGTTTAACAGCAAATCAAAACAAATTTCCATATACAGAATTGCAGAAAATACTCCCAAAGTGTGCATTTTCAGAACTCAACCTCTGAAACCAAAATTGTAATTAATTTAAATGTGTAATTATGAAAATAACCATTGTGGTAGTTAGCCATGAATCATATATCTCCAACCTTCCTAAATCTGTGTGTGTATACAATCTAACTAGTTACAAATTGATATTTGTGAAAGGGAAAAGAAAATGAAATTCAATCATGATTTTACTTTTTCTAAATATTTATACATTTCCCCAAAATTGATAGTAATTATGGGAAGTTACCCATAATCTAAATTTGCAAGTTAGGAATGCAGAAAAATGTCGATTCAAGTCAGATTTCACAGATTTCCTATTGTGTTTATAATGTAATGTACCACCTTCACAAGTGTGCATGCACAGTGGCTTCTGTGAGATGAGGTTAACTTACCTAAAGATTTGCTTTGATTAAAATAAATGTCTATGCCACTTTTCCAACAAACTAGAACTATTATCATTAAATATATTCCAAAGGCCACTCACTGTTCATGTTAAATCTTATATGGTGTGAACTTGCTTCTGTGTCTGAATATAATCTGCATACTTTTTCATTCAGGAGTTGTGAAACAACACTGTAAAAAGTAAATGAATTGTAGAATTTCAGGAAATTAATTACAACATGTTAAATTAAATCTGATCATGCCCATGATATGCAAAAAAATTTTTTAATAAAGTTTTATTTGGGTTTTCACACACAAAATACAAGTAAAACATCTTTTTTGAAAATAGCATGGTCCCGGGTTGAACTTCATTATACAGACACAAAACTCAATTTCATGCTCCTTTTTGTATTCTATTCCATATCTTATACTATTTTACATTTTTCTATATAGTTTTTCCCTTCTTTTAATTTTCTCAATTTTATTTTGATTATCTCATCTCAATTCAAATCATTATATTTATACTTTTGTCTGTTCTGTTTCAATTTCATTAAACAAATTTTAATTAAAAATTTCATTAAACAAATTTTTCTCATTAAACAAATTTTCTCCTGTAGTTACTAATTGGAGTATGACACCTTTATATCTTTTAATTACATCCATTCAACTCTTATTTAAACTTCAATATATACCTTAAGTTTATGACCTTCAATATAATACGTAATACACATAACTTCCAATCGAATTCTGCTTGGCACATTCTTATAATACACACTATATTCTTTTTTTTAAAAAAGAAAGATTGTAAATATATGTAATTATAAACCCTCATTCCATTCCAGTTCAGTTCTATCATTAATAATCATTAAAACCATAACATCTTTAACACTTCTTTTCAATTAAATATCATACTTCCTTAAAAACACATATAATCTCCATAATTAATTTTTCCCTTATTTCTCTTCACATATGTTTTATAAATCATTAAATATACCTTTTGTTACATTTATTTATTGTCAAGCATTCCACTGAATTATGATAGCTATTTTATCAGACATTTTAATCATACATTGTTTCATATTTTCTAAAATTATTTCTGCTTCTAATATAACCATACTATCTTATGTACCTTTGCAGAATCCCTTTTTCCATTAAGTTTTCACTCATTATCTCTAAATAGGCCCTGTTTCTCTATATTTTGCTTCTGTCCTTTATAACTTCTTTTTCTTTCTTTCTTCCCTCTCATCTTCTCCCTCCCCTTTTTACCCCCTTGTCTCTCTATTTCTAATTCTCTCTTCTGCATTTCCCTCTTCTGTTGCTTTCTGATTTTATACTTATTTTTCACTCTGGTTTTTTTTTTTTTTTTGGAGTTGTTTTTCCCAATCTTAAACTTTCCATTCTCTTTCTCCCCTTTCCTTTTTCCCCCCATCTAAGATTACTTGTTCATTAAAGATGGCTTCTTCTTTGTCGCAATCTTCTTGTTCTGCAGGCATTTCTTGTTGTTTCTCATAATTCCAAATCTCCATTTCTAAAAACTGAAATACGAAGCCAAAAGAACCTCTCCCTTCTTGTGCATCTTCTTTGTACTTTTTAAGTTCCATTTTCAGTTCTTCTAAAAGTGGAGCCATTTTAAAAAGTTTTAAACAACCACACGATTGATTTTAGTCATTCAAAACAATAACCAAGAATCCAGAAATCATCAAGTAATCCAGATAGTCCCAAGTTATATCTTCTTATTTCTTTTTCGACTTTCTCTTCCTGGGGTTTTTGTTGCGATATTTCAGTTAGAATGTATCTTTTGGAAGTCTTGTTGAGATTTTGCTGTAAGTTCTTTTTTAATTCTAGGCAGTCTCCTCCCTTCCAGATCCTACCCTTTTATTCTTCCTCTCTCCTTTCCTGTTTTCAAAAGCTTTTAATTATCCAGAAATCTTTATTATCCCTTTGACTTTTTATTTTCAGCATTAAATGCCTATTGATGTCAGTGGATTTTTTTCCAATTTCTTGCTTAAGTCTCTTAGCTGTCAGTATAGGAAAAGGAGAAAACCAAATCTTTTCCCTTTTCTCTCTCCTTCGCAGCTTAAAAATCTTAGGGAACAATGTTATTGTTTTTTAACAGTTTCAATTCCAGGGTACCTTATTTGTTGCTTTTGCTGTTTGACCCGGTCAACCAAAACTTTCTCTTCTTATCTTCCTTCTGCACATTCTTTTCCGGTCGAGTTCTTCTTTGTGGTGGTCATTTCTGACCACCGCTGCAACCGCCTTTGGGAAAGGGAGTAATGGCCAGCTGGGGAGGAGAGATGCGGCTCTCCTCAACCCTGCTGGCAGTCTCCCCCCTCTTCACCACCTCTACGGGGTGGCTTAGCCCCGAAACCAGCCGGCTCGGGGCGCTCCAGCAGCGAGCACGGATCAAAGCCTCGCAGAGATGAGGTTTCGGTCTGTCGCTGAAGAAGCTCAAACCGGAAGTCCAACCCATGATATGCAAAATTGAAGATGCTCAAATATTTGTTAAATTTTATGGGTTTTTTTATTTTTAGAGTTGGGTGAATTTGTAAGGCTTTATTTCTTTTCTACAAGTCTTTGCTTTTTCTATCTTTGAAAGAAGGCTAGAGGTGCCTTTTGTTTTGCAAAAATATATTTCACTATTTCCCCCTCAATGTGTTACTTTTGTTTTGATTTCTCACACACATGACTGCATAGCTTCTGATCCATCTAATATGATAATAAAGTTTGCAGATGATACCACCATGCTGGGTCTTTTTACAGGAGGGGATCAATCAGCATACAGGAAAGAAGTCCAGAAGTTATCTACATGGTGCTCATAAAACAGCTTGCATCTAAACACCAGCAAGACAAAGGAGATGGTGTTAGACTTCCAGAAGCAGAGAGAGGAACCTGCCCCACTCTACATCAAGGGGAGCTGTGTGGAGAGGGTCTCCTCTTTCAAATTCCTGGGAATGCACCTTAGCCAAGATCTCACCTGGATCTCCCAGGTGGTTAGAAAGGCCCAATAGAGACTCCATTTTCTTAGGGTCTTGTGGAAAAAATCAGGTGGAACAATGGCTGATACTTCCTTCTACTGGTCCATGATAGAAAGTGCCCTCACATATTGTGTTACCGTGTGGTACGCTGGCTTAACAGCCGCGGACAGGAAGGCATTACAGAGGGTGATGAGCACACACAAAAAATCATGGGCTGCCCCTAACCCCACTGGATGAAATTGCCAGGTCGCGCTGTCTCAGTAGAGTGAGGAAAATCCTAAGGGATGACTCACATCCTGGACACCATTTCTTTATTGTCCTACCATCGGGCAGGAGATATAGAAGCATAGCCAGCCGGACAAATAGGTTGAAAAATAGCTTTTACCCATGGGCCGTCAGACTACTAAACACAGCATAACACCACAATCAGGCTTAATGTGATAGACTTACAGTGCCAATATATATAGTGGTGTAATATTATAGATATATGGAAATGTGTGCTAGTTTATTACTTATTTGGGGTTAGGGGTTTCTTTTTTTATTTATTGATTTATTGAGATGTATTCTGTGTTCTTGGTTGGGCTGCACCAATGGAGGCTCATTCAATTTCATTGTACACATGTTGCGCATTGACAGTAAAGGTTTGAACTTGAACAGTTCTGTAGCAATAGAACTGCGATGATTTGTTTGTTG